GGGGGGGCGTTTTCGGTTTTCTTCACGATCGCCCTCGGAAATGCTCCCCGTCTGTGTGGCAGCCAGAGGCTCAATTTCACCGATGATGGGGAAACTCATCAGAGGCAACTTTGGGGTTCACTCAGCAAGGCCCTCCCAGTTCACCCCACACGGCATGACCCCTGTTCCGGTGCTGCCCCAGGTATGCCTTCCACAGCTCCTCCTGGCTGGTGGCCGGGAAGGCGGACCCTGCCACACCAGGCCGTGTCCACTACCACCCTGACTCGCCTGCCAAAGGTGCACAGTGGATGAAGCAAATTGTGTCCTTCGACAAGCTCAAGCTGACCAACAACCTGCTGGATGACAACGGCCATGTGAGCGATCCCCGCACCTCCCCAGGCTACGTCGCTATCCCCGGTGCGGGCCCTCCAGAGTCCCTGTTGACCAGAGCCAGAGGCAGAGAGCTTGGGCAGCTCGGGGTGTGAATAAGGGACAGGCTGAGGAGAGTAGGCCCCTCTGGGTCAGGGGCTCACAGGGCCTGGTGGCCCTCAGGCCTGGGAGAGGGTGTCCCCTTGCTTCCCGTGCTCCACTCCTGATCTTTTGCTGGAGGTTTTTTAACTGGAAAGGATGGGGCCATATGGGGGGGGGGGTAGCCCCCAGCAGGAGGCTTTGCAGAATCCAAGTGGGTGATGCTGCTTTCCTGCTGCGCTGAGCTCTGGCCTGCAACCACCTACCAACCCCCCCCCCCCCCACGGTAGGCCCAAAGTAGTTCTCTGGGACCTACAGAAAGAGGATTGAAACCCTGATCTTTTGCCATTTGGAGTGTCTTTCCTGGTGGTCCCCAGTTGATTGCAGTCTCTGCTTGAGCCCCATGGTAGACCTCATTTCAGGAGTTCAGAGTTTTGTCCAAGTTCTCTGGGGAGTTCACTGCCTATCTGGACCTTGGCCCATTTCCTAGTTCCAAACTTGCCACCTTGTCTTCCAGATTATTCTCAACTCCATGCACAGATACCAGCCCCGCTTCCACGTTGTTTATGTGGACCCACGCAAAGATAGTGAGAAATATGCTGAGGAGAACTTTAAAACCTTTGTGTTTGAGGAGACTCGCTTCACTGCGGTCACTGCCTACCAGAACCACCGGGTGAGGCCCTGGGGATGGGCAAATTCAATACTTCTAGGTTGCAATTTCCAGTTGCTGCCTGGGGGACAGAGGTTTGGACCCAAAGGTTGTGGGTTCTGGTGGAACCCAACACCGATGGAGTCCCACCCCCAAGGGCCTCAAGCAGCCTCCTCCCCTCTGCTGCAGGCTGGCCCAGCCTCCTATCAGGTTGACCTCTCTAGCAGCAACTGTCAGTGCGGCCTGAAAGTTTGTTTTCCAAACCATTCCGGAAACTCCCCATCAGGGGCCTGATCCACGGTTTACCCAAATTCCTAGGGCATCCCCCCACCACACACACACACCCTGCGGGGTGGGCGGTGGAGGTGACCACATTCCCATCCGAGCCAGGGACACAGGTCTCCATCCCAATCACTTGGGGCCACAAAGGGGTTCCTTAGCAAGAAAGGAGCTTCCCCTTTGGCAGGAGAGAGGGACAACCTCAGTGAGGGAGTTAGCTGTGGGAAGGTTCTTGTCCCGGAAGAGTAAAAGGGCCCTTATGGTGGAGCTCCTCCAAACTACCCTACCTCGGTGCTCCCACCCCCAGTGCAGGGGCTCCAGCCACTTGCTCAATGCCCGCCGCCTCCCCCCCTCCCCCCGGCCCGCAGATCACGCAGCTCAAGATCGCCAGCAACCCCTTCGCCAAAGGCTTCCGAGATTGCGATCCGGAGGACTGGTGAGTGTCCTCTGAGGAGACGGCGACTGCTCCGGAGCCCAGCGGGGGCGCCCCCCTGACCCGCTGCCCTCCTCCCTTCCCGCAGGCCCCGGAACCACCGGCCCGGCGCGCTGCCGCTTATGAGCGCCTTCGCGCGCTCGCGGAACCCCGTGGCCTCCCCCACGCAGCCCAACGGCGCAGAGAAAGGTAGGACCTGGGTTGTGGGATCCGGGCCGTGGCCCTGCGCGCGCTCCGCCCCGGGCAGACGGCCGAGCCTGGCCTCGCCTGAGCCCCAGGGGCGCTCGCGGCCTTCGCGCCGCTTGCACAACGGCCGTGGCGGCGGGCAAGCGCGCACTCGCCCGGCCGGCCCGACGGCTGCGCCCCGCCCGCCCCGCCTGCCGCCCGCGGAGGGACGCGAGGCCCGTGGGGAGACCGGGGTCTCCCGCAGGTTCGGCGAGAAGGGGCGGGGAGCGCCCGAGTGCGGGCTGGCGCCCCTCCCCGCCAAGAGCGGCAGGGCGCTCGCGGGTCCCCTCTGCCGGCTTGACCCGGCGCGCTCACCCCTCGGCCCTCCCCGCAGACGTGGCCGAGGCTCGACGAGAATTCGAGCGCGACGCGGGCGGACCGGCCGTGCTCGGGGACCCGGCGCACCCGCCGCAGCTGCTGGCACGGGTGCTGAGCCCCGCACTGCCCGGGGCCGGCGGCGCCGGCGGCCTCGTCCCGCTGCCCGGTGCGCCCGGAGGCCGGCCCAGCCCTCCGCACCCCGAGCTGCGCCTGGAGGCGCCCGGCGCGTCGGAGCCGCTGCACCACCACCCCTACAAGTACCCGGCTGCCGCCTACGACCATTACCTCGGGGCCAAGAGCCGGCCGGCGCCCTACCCGCTGCCCGGCCTGCGCGGCCACGGCTACCACGCGCACACGCACGCGCACCCGCACCACCACCACCCCGCCGTGAGTCCGGCAGCCGCCGCTGCCGCCGCCGCCGCCGCCGCCGCCGCCGCAGCCGCCAACATGTACTCGTCGGCCGGGGCCCCGCCTCCCGGCTCCTACGACTACTGCCCCAGATAATGCGGGCGCCCGCCAGCTGCTTCCCCGCCCGGGGTCCCCGCACAGCCCCGAGGGCCGTCGGGGTCCCAGTCCACCCAGCCCCAAGGGCCGTCCAAGAACATGTTCCTCCAGCCCCGGGGGCCAGTGCGGGTCTCCCCTTCCCCAGCCTCGAAGCCATCGGGGTCCTCCACCGTCCAGCCCCGAGGCTGTCGAAGTATCTGGTTCCCCAGTCCCGGGAGCCACCGCGGGTCCCTCCCCAGCCCGGAGGGCCACGGGGTCCGCGCCCGCCAGTGCCAAAGCGCCCGGTCAGCGGCGGAAGGAAGTGATATTTATTGTTCTCCGCGAGACCGCGTCGCCCCCTCCCACCCCCACCCCCGGCCCGGCCGGCAGTTGCAGTGTAGACGACCCGAGAGCCCGTCTGCAGGCGGTGTAGATACGTGTAGATATTTGTAGATACTGTAGATACCGCGCCGGCGCCGACTTGATAAAGGTTTCGCCTCTTTTGGAAGTTGCCTGCGTGTCCATTTATTTGTGTCCAGTTAGATCGCACGGGGCATGTCGGGGAGAGCGTGTCCGGTCGACTCGGGGACTTCGGGGTCTCCCCAGCTCCAGTCCCCACAAGCCGCAGCGAAGCGGGTGTCCCTACAGTGCCCTCCGAACGCCTCCTCCCGGCCCATTTCCAGAGCCTCTTCCCGGCCACGCCCCTCTCCGTCCTCTCCCCGCCCCCTCCCCCGTGGCCCCATCCGGGTTCGCTCCCAGGGTCTCCTCCAGGCTCTGCCCGCCCGCTCCCCGCCCCCACTTCCACCTTGCAGCTTCATCCCCTCCTCCCCAAGGCTGAGCTTACGGGGGCGGGGGGGGGGCCACCCCAGCCCCAGGTGTGCCTAGGGCCCTTTGACTTAACTCAGGCAGGCAGTTGTCCCTCTTCTAGAATTTAGGCGGGCAACCCTGGCCTGTTTTCAGGGCCAGTGCCTGTCCTGGGTGCTTTTCCACGGAAGCTGGAAATAACCATCACGCCAGAACACTGTCAGTTGGGGGCTGGGAAGGGGAGAAGCTCAGACTCTGATCGTAGAAAGACAAAAACAGGCAGTTCTGCTGTTCTAGCATTTCCCCTGGCTGGCCCTAGCCCAGGCCGGCGTTTTCCCCTGTTTATTGACTTTGTTGCCTGTGAATGTCCCCACGGAGTGACCTGGGCAGGGGGCACAATGACAGTGGTCATGAGTCATCTTGAAACCTGTCTGTGAAGCATTTTTCCCAGGCCAGGTGGTGAGGGACCTCTCCCCATTAACTCAACACCAGGGATGGGGCCAGAGGAACCCTTTGATCCCTCCCTTCCTGAATCCAGGCAGGAAAAGCTGACAACCGGTCAACGTCAAGGCTGCTAACTTGGACGCAAGATGGACGGGAAATGCAAATGGCTGAGGTTCTATCCCCTTTCTGTGTCTGTCCCAGTATGTTCCTGGCAGTCACTGCCACATGGCAGGGGCAACCCGGTGCCACCTCTCCCCAGCAGAGCCAGGCATTTCCCAGTATTTGTCCTAGACCGGACACTTTCTTCCTGGATGTGTTCACCCTGGTGGCATGAGGTAACCAAAGGCTTAAAAATTGGATAGCAGGAAGCGTTTCCATGAGGCAGGTCTATGAAGGGAGGGCGTGACTGAGCTGCTGAGGGGTGAGTTCTGGAGCCCGGGTCCGCCAAAGCTTCAAAGTTCATCTTGTGCCAGGGCGTGAAGACTTGAAGTATCTGCTTGAGTGGCCAGGGGGCTCTGTGGACACAGCTTCAGGAACTCATAGGGGCAGCTCTGGACATCCACCCCTGATGGGCGTCCTACTACCCCTCACAGCAGACCTCCCTCTGGGTGAGCTGCATGCAACATCGGGCTCCCCCCTCGTGCAGCTAGCCTGTTTCCCGTCTGTACCACAAATGCACCCTGCATTCTTGTCCTGGGAGGCCTGCAGGAATGATGGGCTGTGGCCTGCAGGGCTAGTCTCTCCTTCAGGTGCTGGGCACCCCTCCCAGGCCCACTATGATTCTGAGGCCGCGCTCTTCCTCTGCACACTTTACACTCAGGCCATGGTGAGGGTCAGGGGTTGAGAACCACAGTTGGAAAGGTCTCTGTTTTGGTTTTGTTTAAAGCTAAAGTGAGCGGAAGCTCCCCTCTGAACCAGCGACGGTGCTGGGAGGATGCAGCTGAGCGCCTGGGTCTCTGGTGTGCAGCCGGCCAGCCTCCAGCTTGTGCGCCCACTCCCATAATCATCACGCACTCAAGATGGAAAGCTGCTGCGGTCCAACACGGTGGCTGCTGGCCGTGGCCGGCTGCTTACATGTTAATGAACAAAAGAAGAATAAAACGAAACATTCGGTTCCTCCTCGGCTGCATTCTGAGTGCTGGACAGCACAGGGACGGCAGGTCAGCTCGCTGGACGCTGCAGATGAGGGCGGCCCTGCACTGGGGAACAGCCCCCCAAAGGCATGGTTTTCTCCCCTCTGCCCGCATAGTTGAGTTTGCCTTCCTTAAGAACTTCTCACAAATGGGATCATGCAACAGGGCGCCCCGGCTGGCTGCTTTCTGCTCCGGGGTGTTGCAAGCCTGGCCCACACTGCCACCCACCCAGCAGTTCTTCTTGCTGACCAGCGTCAAGTCTCCGGCGAAGGACACTGCCAGAGCTGTCGCCACTACCTGCTATGTGGGGCTGACTTTCCCATGGGCAGCTACCCCAGACAGTCCCTGACTTCCCTGTAAAGCCACTATCCTGGCAGCTTCCATGTCCCTCGCTTTGGGCACCTCTATGGACACACCCGGCCTGCCCCTTCCATGAGCCGCTGTGCTGCGCTGTGTGGGGGCTCGGGGACCCTCTGACCCACTTCCTTGGGGGCTCACCCCTCAGTGACTTCCTCTGGGGTCCTCCGTTGGCCCAGAGGTCCCATTCTGCTCCCTTCACCTGTCTCCAGGTGTCCAGTTGCTAGGACTCAGGAGGACGAGAGCCTGGATTAGAAGGGACCTGGGAGATCGGGTCCGGGGACCCCAGACTCCTCAATCCTCGACGCCCTTCAAAAAACAATGGATGCCCAATGAGTGAAACAGGTTCATTCCTGACTAAGTAGAGGAGGGGTGGGGTTTGTCTACTCCCCTCTTCACCCCTCTGGGTCCCACATAAGGGGCCTAGGGAACCCAAGGTCCCTGGGATACGGTGGCACAACCCACCCTCCCCCCAGCAGCCCAGCTTGCTGTTCTGAGAGGAGAAAGACCAGACCAGAGCCACAGGCAGGGCCTGCTGTGCCGCCTTCCTTGGGCGCTGGAGCCTCTGTCTTTGACATAAATCCTCCAGCTCCTAGGAAGGCTTGGGAAACGCTGCCCCGAGTGTGGGCTACCCCAACATCTAGGTATTCCAAAAGCCCAAGACTTAAGGACTCTAACAAACCCACTGCCCACAGGGTCTCATCCGCAGGCTCACGGCCGGGGCAGGGATGCTCTGGAATGGGACCCCCCACCCCCGGCCCGTGCTGCCACTAAGTAAAGTTGGCAACACCACATGGCTTTCCTGAGACCAAGAGAAAATGCCTCAGACAAAAACGTTGGGCACAGGTGGCTGTGGGCACAGGTCCCTGATGACAAACCTCCTGGAGGGGCTGGTGACAGTCTCCTCCACAGGGAAGCATTTGGGGGGGCAGAGCAGTACACTGAGATTCTGCCATGGGATGAGGGGAGTCTGTTTGGTGGCACCTCAAGCCTGGAGTTGCAGAGGAGGAGGAAACCTGGTGTGTAGGGGGGGCTTCAGCCACCCCTTTCCCTCTGGCGGGGGAAGTCCGCAGAGTGTGTGGGACCCGCATGATGACGGGTGGGTGAGTGCGAAGCACTGATCTCCAGGTGTGCTGCAGATCAAAGCGTCCACGCACTAGAGAATTCCATGGGGCCACAGCTGTGGGGGGGGGGGCGGCGCACAGAGCCCAGGGAGCCCTGTGCAGGCAGACACAGGGAGGGTGGGGGCCTGAAGAGCTTCTTCTAGGACAAAAGGAACGATTCCAGTGGCAGCAGGAGTGTGGCTCACCTGGAGTTGGGTGTGAGGGAGAGCACACCTCCCGGGTGCCACAGGCCCTGTGCCTCAGTTTCCCCTTAATGCTGGGTGCTGACCCCGGCCCTATGGGAGCGGTGTGAGTCGTGGAGGCCCTTGTGAGCAGCGGGGACCATCCTCTCCTCCTCGGTATGGGTTCCAATGAGGCCTTGCACAAACCTGATCCCCACATGCCTCCCTCACCCACAAGGCCGCCTCTGTACTGTGACATGGGCACAGCCAGGGAGCTGGGGCAGGGCGGGGGGGCAACGACATGACATGGCCCCACATGCCACCCGGCCCTGGGAGAGGAGGCTGGAGTTGTTTCCTGGTCTACCCCACACATTTTCTGTATTTAAAAAAAACCACACAAATCTTGCCTTTGATTCGATTCCCTTCCCTGCTTGTCGTACTACTTCAAACCAGATGGGTTCACAAGATGAGACTTTGCAGTCTCGGAGCCTCCACTTAACTGCTGCCAGGTCTGTGTGTGGGGAACAGCAGAACCAAAGGTGTTTTGTGAAAAGCAGCCCCCATGGGGGAGAAGCTTAGGTCTTAATAGCAGTAATTAAGTTATCTTCTTAATTATAAAGAGGAACGGCATTGCCGACATCCTTTATCAGCTTTCAGTTGCATCCAGTCAGTGTCTAATCCTCTGCTTCCAGCGGCCGCACCCCGCCCCCGCCCCCTCCCCCCCACCAGCCATGTCTTCCCCTGGGCTCACAGAGCAGCCCGGCCCAGCTCTGGCCACCAACACCTGCACTGGGGACACGTGACGGTCTGGGCCCCCCACTCCTGCATGTGCCACCAAGGAAAAGGCCTTCCGATCAGATTGTGACCCCCCCTTCAACGGAAACACGTCCTGACTTCGGAGATGCTGGTGTTTCCATCCAAGGGCACCTTCCACCTCGTGGTAAGGCAGACTTGAGTCACCAGCTGGGACGCAGGCCCCTCCCTGTGTCCTCCGAGGC